GGCCAGGTTGGGAGGGGAGCTCGCTTTCTGGATGCCCCCCTCCATGAGGACTGCATGAGGGGGTGGGAAGGCTAAAGGCCAGAGAGCACAACCCCAAGAGGGTAGCGATGGCCCCGGAGCCTGCTGGCTCACAGGCAGCCCCACAGGCAGCCCCACGGACCCCAAAGGCCCCATCCTGCAGGCTCAGGCAGGATGGGGCTCCCACCCGGCTCTGACGCAGCACCAGTCCAGAGCGCCTGGCAGCCCAGGCCATCATCTGAGGGGAGACAAGCCCAGCTGGCAGCCTTCTTGAGACCCCTGTTAAGAGCAGGAGGCCGGGTGAGGGGGTCCCGCTGTGGCCTGGCCCAGAACGGTGGTCCTTCAGCCCACAGCGGGTGGGGGGGCCTGGGGCTTCAGCCGTGGAGTCTCCCTCCAGCCCGGCTGCTGCTCCAAGGCGGCCAGGCTTTGTCCCACTGGGGGCCAAAGGCCAACGCTCAGGGCTCCGCCAGCGCCCTCGCCCTCGCCTGGTACTAAATGCAGAGCTCGGAAAGTTACTTTTCTGCCCCTGGAAATGTTGCCCAGGGATTCTGGGAGGTATCCAAAGCATGCCCGTGCCCGGCTTCCCACCGTGACCAGGGAGGATGAGCATTCTTCCTCCGGGACTGACCGTCACGACAGAGCTTGGTAACCTTTAGGGTCAGGACTGGCCCTGCCAGCCGTGGGAGGTGTTTCCCGAGGGCTGGCCGCAGCCTCCCCTCCCCACTCCCTGGGGTCCCCGGCTGGAAGCAAGAGGCGAGAGCAGATGGGACGCCCCCACCTCCCCGGGGATGATTCGCCAGGAACTTCTGAACACGATGGATGCAGACAAGAGAAAACGCCAACACCCAGGGAGAAAGAAAGAGAGAGAGAGCGAGAGAGTCACAGCCAGCCAGGGGAGAGGTTTAGATGTCTTGATTTTTATTCCAGACATTTAGAAGTGTTACATAAAGTGTCATGATCAATAAATCTACTGAGGAAGATAAGAAAGACTCTGTGCCCGTTTCAAAGCAGAGTGACATGGACAGAGGTCTCTGCACGCAGAGAGTGAGGTCACGGGAACCTCTGGAAGACAAGGGACAGGTCGGGGGGGGATGGGGGATGCCCCTCCCCACAGGGTGCAGCTGAAGGCAGCCAGGAGGCGAGTCTTCCCATCGGAGGGGCTGTGCACTAGAGGAAGGCGGGGGCCGAGGCCTGGGGGGGTGCAGCCCCATGCGCCCTTCCTGCTGGAGCAAGCCAGACCTGGCCAGCAGGGCCCCAAAAGGCCAGGGGTGTGGGCTGTAGGTGCAGAAGCCGCCCCTCGCTCTTGGCCCTCCGCTCCGCCAGTGGTGGGGCTCTGCTCAGCCCCCCCCCGGCCCCAGCCAGCAGCCCTTCCCAGTCAAGAGCCTGGCGGGTGGCTCCTCTTGCTCACGGGGCAATGTTCGGTCCTTTCATGCATATCAGGCGGGACGGGGGGGGGGCAAATGAAATCTCAGAGCTCTCCAGCCGAAGCCTTGCCAGGGAGGCGTTGGTGAAAGGACTAGCTGAGCCAAAGCACGACCCTGTTGGGCCTTCTTCCCCTTTTGGGTGGCGATGTGGCCCTGGACGACCCAGAAACCGGCCATTCTTTTGGCTGCAGACGGATTTCGTGCCCAGAGTTGCCTTTCCCCCTTGCCGCCTCGTGCCGCTCCATGTCCTGCCTCTTCCACTGCAGATGCCTCAGGGGCCCAAAGAAGGTTCTCCCCTCCCTGGTGCCACCGATTCGGCCACCCCCTGGCCCGTGGGCTCCCTCTGCCTGTCCCACAGCCACGCCACCTTTTCCCAACTCAACTCTGCAGGCGCCACTGGATTGTGCCGCACCGGCCTGGCAGCTCAGCACCAGCCACCCGACTCAGGCTGGCCACCAGACCTCGGCCACCTTCTCTCTCTGGGAGCCAGGACATGGTGGCAGCTTCACTGGCTTCCACATCCACCCACACCGGTGCCCATTCACCCAGACCTGTGGGTTCTGGCCACTTCCAGGGCATCAAAATCCCCCAACCCCCTTTCTTTGTCTCTCCTGGCCTGCCAGTGGATGCCAGGACAAGGCGCTCAGCACCTTGGAAGTGGGGAGGCCTCGGCAGCCATTCCTCTTAAGGGACAAGGAGGTGGTGGTAGAGGAAACCAGGGGGAGTCTCTCCCCTCCAGCCCAGCTATCTTTGGGTGTTGGGAAGCCCAGCTCATGGGGGCCCCCACCTTGGAGGTTCTCATGACACCTGGACCCTCGTGGGCCGCTGCCCGTGTCTGCCGCCATGGATGGGAAGGCAGGCCCTGCCCTTTGCCGCCTCTTTCTGCAGCCAGGCAGCCCTCTTTTATTCCTTAATTAACATGGCCAAGAAATCAATTAACTGCTCAGCTCCTAATTAAAGGCTACACAAGCTGATCATCTCATTATCATGAGCTGCCGAGGTGAGCAACGGACATGGCATGGGGTTCTTCTGCCCCCCCTTCCCCCCTCCCATTGTGGGAAAGGGTGGACGGAACGGCTGGCTGCACTCTAGCACATCAGAGGCCCCTTTTGCACATTAAGAGATACGGCAAAACGAATTAGCCATTAAGCAAATATACTGCAAGTGGTCGGCCTGGTCCCTCTGGTCTGGGCTGGCACCTACAAGCCACTGGCTGCTCTCCTTCAAGGGCACCTGAAGATTTCCAGAATCTGGGAGTACGGTCCGGGGGTGGGCAGGCCCGGGCAAGGCTGAAGAGAGGCAGCCAGACACACCCATCCGGAGAAGGGCCGGAGGAAAGGCAGCTTTGGGGGCCCGGGCTGGGCTCCTGCATTCCCCCAAAAGCTGCAGAAGCATCCAGGGCCCTTTCAAAAGCCATCGGCCGGAGAGACGCCCGGGTACCACCGCTTGCGTGTGACGGAAGGGCCTTCCTTCCTTCCTTCTGCAAGCCAGGCACCCCAGACATGGATTCAAAAGCAAAACCTCCAGCCCTGCCTTGCCCGTGGCTAAAACATCTCTAGGAAAGGGACAGAAAGCCAGGGAGAATTCATCGAAGGCAAACTCTTTCCAGGGTGGAAGCCACAGCCCGGTTGCAGCAACACCTAACCGGCGTTATTGGCACGAGCCTTTGTGGGCTTCTTCCAATCGATCTAAAGAAAGGGGCTGTGGGTTACAAAACCTAAATGCCAGACAAAGCTTGCTAGTCCTTAAGCTCCACCGGGCTCCCCACGCCTTTTCCGGCGCCACATCTCTTACGACGACAGCCCTCCTCGCTCCCGAGCTCTCTTTTTCCTCCAAAATGCTGCCCTGGGACGCTGGGGCTCCAGACGGGCTTGGCCGCCCCATCCGGAACCAGTTCAGCCCAGACCCTCGGCCTTCCCACACCTGGCCTTTCACACCGGATGCTTCCCACGTAGGGAAGTGTGACCGTCTTCACTAGAGGGGGTTTCATTTCTAGGATTTACTTTGGGGAGGGGGCAGGGGGGACTCTGTATCCGCAGGGGAGTTTCACTTAGCTACCCCAAATTGGGCTCCCTGAATTTCCTGGCCTGAAAGCCAGACACACCTGGCACAACCGGTATTTCTGGAAGAAAAAACATCCCGAGGAGAACCCTTCGTCCTTCACAGTCACAGCCACACACCTCGCATGGCTGGCTTGTAAGGCCTGGGGTCAAAGCGATGCAGGGGCTTGAAAAGGCCCCCAGAAGGGCCCTTTCCTCCTCCTCCTCCTCCTCCTCGGGGTCCACCCTTCAGATATTCTGGGGCTGGGGGGAGGAAGAGCGACTTGGACCCTCCGTCTCTGCTCCAATCCGGCTGGGAGGCGAAGCTTCTTGGCGCACCCACCGAACACACTTCTCATTGCTGCTTCTTCAGTCTGGGGTGCAAAGTCCCCCCCCCCCAGGTTGCAGCCCTGAAAACAGGCCTCCTCGCGTGTTCAGCCTCTGCCAAGAATCTTCCGGCAACGCTGGGATCAGAAACAGGGTGGCATCGGGGAGTGTCAGCATTGCATCACGGTCTGCCGGCCTTTGTGAAGAAACTGGGCTGTTACACATGCGTGTGAGCGCAATTAATTTTCTCTGTCTCTTCAAAAAAGAAAAAGTCTGTGAAACACCTCCGGGATCGTTCTGGTTTTTTTTCTGGGTGCTGCAATTAGCAGTGCATGATCAGGACGGCTCACTCCGTCTGCCTCCGCAGCAGGTATCGGCAGCCCACGGTCTTTCTGGTTGGGAGCCAGGGGGGTGGTGGTGGTGGAACAAGTCCCGTCCCTCTTTCTCTCCTGGATCGGAGAACACGACCTCTTGGCCAACTCCAGGAAAGTAAGCCTGCGCAGCCCCACCAGCGAGGGGAGGCAGAAAATGCAGCTCTTCGGGCTCCCAAAGGATGGCCCTTTCGCTCCCCCCTCCACCGCCAGTCTTCAGCCCCGGAGAGGGCCCTGAAGCTCCAAGGGCCTCATCCAGAGGAGGAGGTGTCTGGGTGTCAGGTTGGAAATGTGGCCCAGGTGGCCACATCAGCAAGAAGCGGGGAACCCATGCCGTGCCAGAGTCCAAAGCCCATCAGCCCTAGGCCTGTTGGTGGGAGTTGTAGTCACGCAGCATCTGTAGGGCTACTGCTTCTATAACCCCACGGTACCCACACTTAAGACCTGCCAGGCGGAGGCAAAGATGGCTTTTGCTACGTCGCCCGTGCTTTACCCGCACCCCTGCCTTTCACCTCTGGCGATGCCTGCCGGGGCTGACAGTCTCCGGGGAGGGGGGGGACCCCCACCAACCCCATTTGGCTTTGGGTCTAAATTCAATGCAGCTCAGTTAACAGTAGTGGAGATGTACACCCTGCTCAGTTACGCCACAGGGCAGGTGACAAGGTCTGTAGGGTTTGTCCAGAGGTAAGAAAGGAGGAGCTTATTTCACCCTGAGGTCCTTTTGATATTGGGGGGCTGTGTGGGACAGGTCAGCTCCCGTCTGGCCCCTCTGCTCCTGCTGCTGTGAGGGGCTGGACGGCTACCTGCTGCAGAGGTGCACGACACCCAGGAATCAGGCCGGAGAGGCCACGGCAGGTGGAAGGGAAGAGATGGTGGCTCCTGGGGCTTGTTCAAGGACTGGCCACAGGCCGCCCCGAGGGAGACATGGAGGAACCCGAGACCTTGCCCTGAATGGACAACCACATGGACAGCTCTGCAAGGACGGGTGCAGAACGGTTGCCGTGAGCCTATGCTCTAATCACACGCATGTGGTGGCCTGCAATAGGCCATCCTGCAATAGGCTGAATGCTTCTTTCCGTGGGTGCGTGTGAGAAGGAGGCATTGCCCGGAGGGAGCCACCCCAGCGGCTTCACATTTGGGCTTCAGAGCTGTCTTACAAGAAACACCCCCAGCAAATCTGCCCATCCAGGCCTGGGGAAGAGGGGGCTGGAGAGCAGAGGAAGGGCGGTGCGCGCGCGCGTGTCTCATACACAGACAAAGACAACCTGCCCTGTGTCATTTGTTTAGAGTCAAAGCAAGTGTCGCAGAACGGTCTACGGCTGTGCAAGACTGACACTGAATCAATACAGTACGATTATCAAGACGCTCGAGCTGCCTCTTCCTCGTCAAGTGCCAAGAGCTGAGCTCTTTGCTGCCCCAAAGAAGTGTGGGGGCTGAATTCCTAGGATTTGAAAAAAGGAAGTGCTGCATGGGAGGGGGTGGGGGTGTCTACTTTTGTGTAAAGCTGCACAGACCCGTGGGGAGGTGGCAGTCTCCTCCACGGCACTCTGCCGATCCAGGATGTGAGCTTGGAGCTTGTGAGGCCCCCCCCCCGCCGCCCTCCCTCCCTCCCACTCACTCTTCCCTTTGTGCTGTTACTGTCGCTAATTTAAAACTTTAAATATTAATCTTTTCGACCCATGTGAGATGCCGAGTCTTGGAAAGTGTTAATTTACACGCCGCTCTCGACAGTGGAAGACATTGGGAGCGCCAGCTTCCTCCTCCTCCTATTGTATTCCTCCTTCCTCCCTGCTCTTTTTCCCTCTCTCTCTCCCCCCCCTCCCAGCAATTCCTCGGGTAGGACTGGCGCTCCTTTCCTGCTTCGCCATCTTCCATGCCAGGCGGGTCCATCTTCCACTTACAGCCCTTTGTTGTAGACGACCGTCCTGCTGGCGGTGGCCTGGGCGAGGTCCGGTTCCAGGCGCGAGGTCTCAATCTGCCAACGAGAGGGGCCAAGGGGTGGGTGGGTAAACACGGCACAGGAGGCAAATTTAGGAGGGTGCCCAGGTGAGGGGAGGGGCGCGGGCGGCAGCGGTAAGCAAAGGCGGCCGCTGGGCCAGCAACAGCCGAGGCAGACCTTGAAGGGAGCCCAGCCAAGCAGGAGTCCCAAGGGGTGAAGCCCTCACCGGTTGGCCCCAGATCCGGATCAGACCAGGAATGGGAGGCGAAAGGGAACCTTGGCGGAGGGAGGCACCTCAGAGGAAAGCAGAAGGGTCGGCCAGCCCTGGCCCTTCCGTCTGGGAGGGCACACCCCCCCCCAAGCCTCCAAGGCTCTCCCCTGCCTGCCTGCCTGCTCTTTCCCACATGGCCCATAGAAGACCCACAAGTGGGCAGGCCACAACGTGAGACAGCTGAGAAGATCCTGCCCCCCCCTGCTCTGCAGCCATCCCATACATGAAATGATGCAATCCCACCTATACCTGCTAGAACTCAGTGGGTGGGAAGGCCGGGGCCTGCCCCTCGGCTGCTCCCCAGGGGAAGGGAAGGGAAAACCCTTCTTCCAAGGCTGAATATTTCAGCCCAGAGGCAAGTGAGGACGGGCCCCTGAACCCGGACTCCAGGAGAGCCTACCTGCCCCCCCCCCGCCCCTCCCAGAAGTAAAGTTGTTCTCCCTTCAACAAAATTTAACATTGTCATGTGCTCATTGCCAAAACAAAGGTAACTTGCAATGTTTCCCCAAGACCAGCCGTGCCTTTTGCAGAGGCTCCGTCTCTCCCAGTGGAAGCCGGGGCACTTAGAAAGACGGCGGCCTCTCGGCAAGTCACATCAAGCGGAAGAGGCAAAGCTTGGAGGAGGTCTCCCCGAAAACCGGCTTCCGTTCTGATTCGCAGACAGGGCCGCACCAGGATGACTGGGGTCTCCTGTTTTGTTTTTTAAGCAGAGAGGCAGACGGGGCAAAGAGCCTCAGGAAGAATCCCACACACCTCCTGGTTCTCAAGAAGAACCTGCCTCTGGCCATGTGCAGAGTGGCGCTCTGAGAGGGACCTCCAGCCTCAGGCTTGCGCAGCACAAGGGAAAGGTGCGGCCATTCACGGGGAAGACACCCAAGCGCCTGCCTCGTTCCTGAGGCTCGCCACCGCCGCTGCCACCATGTCCTCATGAGACGGGCAAAGCACCTCCTCTTGGCCCCGAGGCCTTCTTGGCCCATGTGCTGGCCGAGAACCACCAGAGGTGGACCTTTTTGCCAGCCTGCCTCTTTCGACTGCAAGCGGCGCTCTTACAAGGCTGCTCCGGTCAATATTTGTAGCCTTTTCTCACCATTTCGGGGCCTTGAGACTAACTGCCGGTCCCTGCGGTGCAACTCAACACAGGCGTCTGTCCTGGGGGGGGGGAGGAGGGACGGAGGGCCCCCTCCACCTACGGCATGCACTTCTTCCCACAACGCACTCCACCCGACTGTGGCTATTCCTCTTTCTTGCAACGGCTACTCGCCCTCCCTTAAGGTGCGCAAGGAGGACCTCAGGTGCACTTCCCCCCCCCACCGCCCATAACTGCAGATCCCAAGCACAGCAGCTCAGGCTGGGCATCCCCTTCACTCAGAGCCCTTCTCAAGAGACGCAGGGCGCGCCACCACCTGGCCTAAGCGGGCCCTCCTCACCAGGCACTAGCAAAAGACGGAGGAAATCTGGACAGGTGTGATTGTCGCAGACAGAACGGAAGGCCTGGGTTCGAATCTCCACTCAAGGCAGGAATCCAAGCAGAGCATCTCACAGATTTGAGGAACTCCATTAGGGTTGCCATGATCAAGTCAAGAACACACAACAACAGCAACAGCAACAGCAACAGCAACAACAACAACAACGGAGTTTGGTGTTACACAAAGGTTTCAAAACAAGACGGGGGGGCACCTTCTCCATCTCCATGGGGAACCAGGACAGAAGCCACAGGCTGAACTGCTGGGAGGAATGTTTAAACCTCACGACACTTTCCTAACCACCAAGAAGTTTGGCCCAGAAAGCAGGCAGGGGCGGGGCGGGGCGTGGAAGGGGCCGCGAAGCCTCCCCTCCTCCCCTGCGTTGGCACCCGTGGCCTACAGAGGCCACGCGTGATCCTGCCTACCACCTCAGCCCCCCCCCCCCCCACGGTAGTCCTCAGCTTTCCCACCTATCATCCAAATTGCTGATGTAATGCCATCACCGTCATCATTTTCATGAGGGCATCTCCAAGCCGGACCCCAGGGTGTGCCCGTCTCTATGCTTCTTCTTAAGAAGGACCACCCCGCCCATCTTGGGCGCAGTCGGTGGGTGCCTGCAAGTGTGAGGCAAAAGCAGGGCTGGCCTCTCTCTCTCTCTCTCTCTCTCTGTCTGCCTGTCTTTGGACAGAGGAGTCATTACCGGACCCCCACCCCTACCCCCAGTCTCTACAGAGGACAATGCTTTTCTCTTACTGCGGCGGCGAGGGAAAGGGGGCACCCCACACCTCCCCATGCTAGCAGAACCTGGCCTGCAGCAGCCCGGAGGGAAACAATGGCCAGATGACGGTCGGGCGGAGATTCCACCGATCTGGCCTCCACAGCTTGGGCGAGAAGGGGGCACGATCCTCCTTTCCTCCTCCAAGGAAACAAAACAAAACAAGACAAAAGCAGGTGGGACCAGGAAGATCTTTTCCTCCTCCGCCCCCATGCCCTCCCTTCTCCCCTTCTCCTTTACTCCCCCACTTCTTCTCTCCCCCCCGCTTTGCTTCTGCAAATTCTCTCCACAGAACATTTTCAAAGGGCTTTTCAGGGATCTGAAAGAAGGACAAGGAAATGCATGGCTTGGTTTGTTCACAACACAGACGTTCGTTCACAAACAAAGTCACACCTGCAGGTCTGTAATGCATGCACCCCTGGTATGTATGCATGCATGTATAGATACATGCATGCATGTATGTACGTACGTACGTACGTACGTACATTCCGGAGGACTGATTCAAGAGATGCTGGTTCTGGTGCCAAGGCAGACAAAAACCACGATAGAAAATGTACATGGGAAACCTAAGTGCTTTTGAAAATGTTTAACCTAGTTAGACAAATTAGCAAAAATTTGTGCAAAACAATTTAGGTATTTAAAATATTCAATGTTTTTAAAAACGGGAAAAACTGTTCCTCGCTTTTAGCTGCAGAAACCCAACAAAATGTAACATCCCAGCAATCTTAACATGAGGTGCAACATAACCCTTCAGCAAAGCTGTTAAACAGTTCCCGTTGCATCCTGGGAAATAGCACTTCATTTATTCAAATGCACATATGCCAGTTTTTTGCACCATATGTCATTCCAAGCTATTTACAGTAATAATTAAATCTTAATCAACGTTTAACCTCTGTAAAATGTTTGAAGGGATCTAATCACCCTTCAGTCTTCACTAATGAAGGAGAAATATATAAACATAAAAAGAAAATGATGCACACCAGAAAGAAAGAAGAGTAAGTGTAGAATTGTATTTCTTTTAAACATAATCAGCAAGTTATGTAAAGGAAGTCAGCGGGTATTTTAAGTGACGACATCCTGGGAGTCAGAGGTGCGAGGAGCTAATTTTGTACTGCTATCCATAACAGATGTAGCATATTTTCTCTTAGAGCCATTATTAGCAACTTCCCCGTTCATCATCTAACTGAAACACAAAGCCCAACGTTGAAACAGAGGGCATCAAATCTAGCCCAGGAAAGGAGCTGAGAGCCATGCGCCCCTCGGGCACAGCTGGGGTGGAGGTGCCCCCCAGCAGGCGGGCGGGCAGGCGGGCGGGCGGGTGGATGGACGGATGGACAGACGGGTGGGCACCCTTTGCTGGGGGCAGCTTGGAGAGAGGCAGAGGCTCCCACCCCTGGAGGCAGCAAAGGTGGGGAGGGAGGTTTCCCCCACGGCTCCTTACAAAGGAGGGCTTCAAAGGCAACGCCTGGCATCCGCGCCGGATTCCTGCACCACCGACACCTGCAGAAGAGGTGACGCAGAAGAGGCGACAGCTACAGCTGAAAACCTGGCTTTTCACCCAGACGTTCGGATCAAACTAGGTTGATCGTTTCCTGATTTGCATTTAATCAGTCACTTTTATTTCCGCCATCTTGTGAGCTGGGCAATGTTTCTCAGATAATGGGGCTTTTGCTGGGTATTTTTTTTCTCCTTCTCCTTATGATGATAGTTTTTAATTTTCTTTCAATATCTGTGTTTAAGTTTGTGTTGCCACTCAGAAGAGTAGCTCGCCACTAGTTGGGCAGGGTAAAAGTTAAATACACAGATTACAAACGCAGACACACAGACATCGGACGGAGTTGCCAAGGCTAAAAGCCCAAACCGCCGCGTACCCTCCTCGGAGCACCGAGAGGCAGACGGGGCACCTTTCAGCCAGGGCTGCCTCGCCCTTCCTGGGCTCTCCAGGCAAGACCTGCTTCTGGGGAGAGAGTACAGCTTCTGACCCCATCCGCCAAGGATGGGGTCCGCAGCCTGGGGATCCATCTGGACCCAGCGTTCACCATGGAATCCCAGGCGGCGTCAGTTGTCCGAACCGCCTTTTACCACCTTAGGCGGGTAGCCCAGCTGCGGCCCTATCTCGTAATCTCAAGATTAGACCACTGTAATGCGCTCTACGTGGGGCTGCCTTTCAGGCTGCTGCGGAAACTCCAGGTGGTGCAGAATGCAGCGGCCAGACTACTTAGTGGAGTGAAAAAATACCAACACATCTCCCCCACCCTGGCCGCATTGCATTGGCTGCCCATCCGTTTCTGCATCGACTTCAAAGTGTTGATGCTTGCGTATAAAGCCCTAAACGGTTTAGGACCTCGATACTTGGCAGAACGCCTTCTCCCGCCAAGATCTACCCGTGTCACTCGTGCGAGCCAGGAGGTGAGGCTGAGGAGCCTAACGCCGAGGGAGGCCCGGAAGGAAAAGACTAGAAATCGGGCCTTCTCGGCGGTGGCTCCTCGTCTCTGGAACAACCTACCCCTGAGATTCGCGCGGCTCC